CCGCCAATCCATGTTTCCGTTATGCAGGCCAGGTCTGCATCTTCCTCCAAGATAAGATCATAAATCAGTTGGGTTTTATTAGATACAGACCTGGCGTTCAACAACACCAGGCGTAGAGTAGAGGGCCGGCTGGTCTGGCTACCTCGATATTGGGGGTTGGTTTCCGTCTCAGAACAAGGAACAGCCTGTAAACATCTGTTCATAGTTCTTCTGACACGAGTAGGGACGGATCCAACGCCATATCGCCCTCTACCCGTAATCACAGTGATGTTTTGTGGCCCCTCGCTGGGAGGGCAGGCACCCCATTCCATGACGAGAAGAGAAATAAAAAGAAAAGGGGAAAGAAAAAACTAATAACTTAATTCAAATATACAAAAAAGGATAGTACAATAAAAAGCTAAAGTAAGTACATCAATAAAAACATATAAACCAGCAGTACCAAACTTAATAATAATTAAATTAAGTTAAACAAAAATAGTAACTTAAAAAATAAATACTAATGAGAAAAAATCACAATAGCTATCCCCCACATATATTAAAATTGGACTTAATGCTATTAAGTCAGATCCCCTTCTCTTTTCTTTCCTAATGTTTTAATCCAATTGTTGAAAGTTTTCTATTATGTAATTCTGTTGTTTTTATAGTGCTATCCCATGTTGTAAGCCGCCTAGAGTGGTCTATCGACTAGATAGGCGGGATATAAGATATAAATAAAATAAATAAAAAAAATTACAAAAAATAAAGTGAGACAGGGCAGACAGATGATGGAGAAGCTAGCTTGTAATTAAAACAACAGCAGCAGACACATCAAAGAGACAGCTGTATTAATACTCCTGCACATGTGGCCCTTTGCGCTGAAAGGAAGGAGCAACAGTTGAGATTTCTCTGCTCGTGCCGCCAGAGGCCAGGAGGTGCGGCTGATTAGCGCGGGGAGAAGCAGAATTCGACTTGACGCGGGATGTTCCCGAAGCCGCTGACCTCTGGAGTGAGGTCAATTTTGGTGACTCCAGGAGGGTGTTTGAGTTGGAAGTTCTGCAGGACGGAGGTGAGGTAGAGGAAGAGCTGCATCCGGGCCAGTCCTTCACCCAGGCAGTTCCTCTTTCCTGTAGGAGATGGAAGGAGAAAGGCTTGTCAAAAGAGGTCTTGGGAAATCAAAAGGGTGGTTGCTACTGCCTGGAAAAGTGGCTTTTCCAGACAACGTCCAAGTTCCTCTTTGAGAATGCCCAGTAGACCCCATTTATTTTGGAAAGATGTTCCAAATGCCCCAGTGAGTCTGATTCCATTTGCTTTGTGCGCAGGTCCCTTCACTGAGTGATAGCGATGGAAGGACCTTTCTTGGCCCATCATGTGTGTGAGCAAGCAGAAGTTAGATCTGGCTCTCCAGCAAGGTGGACCCTAACTCCACCACAGCTGATGGGAGATGATGTCCGACCATATTTGATCTAACACTAGATCTGTGAGTGATTTGCTGTAAAGCCAGATTGATTTCTGGTGCCCAGTTGGCTGAATAGTGTGTGTGTGGGGGAAACAAGAAACATCTCTTCCCACCCATAAACTACCGCTATGTGGGATTGCAAACCCCCTGACCTTTTTGGGTTTGCAGTCCCAAAACGTGAAGGGCTCCAGTGGCCCATGGATCACAGGGGTGTTTGAAAACATCACCCAGCTACTGGCAAAGCAGATGTTCCTACCAGCAGAAAAGGGCATGTCTGCCCCATTCTTCTTGAAGCGTCCGTTTTCGTCCAGGAAATGATTGGGGTCAAACAGACCGGGATTGTCGTATTGCTTGGGATCATGCAAGGCAGAGCTCAAGATGGGGTAGATGGTGGCGCCCTGTTTGAAGAAGCAGAGAAGACAAAAGACAACTAAGAACAAGGACATGGTCATTGATCTTTAGCTCACACAGGATGGTCTTAAGAAACTGACATGGCAGGGTGCTATCTGCCGTTATACAGTTCTACTGTCAGCAGCCAACCTATTTAGTGAAATGTTTGAAGAAGCAGAGAAGACAAAAGACAATCGAGAACAAGGAGCTGGTCATTAATCTTTAGCCCACGCAGGACGGTCATAGAAACTGACATGGGAGGGTGCTATCTGCCATTATACTACTGTCAGCAGCCAACCTATTTAGCAAAATAATTCCAAAAGATCTCTTATATGGAGAATTTGTTGTTGTTGTTTAGTCGTTAAGTCGTGCCCAACTCTTCATGACCCCATGGACCAGAGCACGCCAGGCCCTGCTGTCTTCCACTGCCTCCCGGAGTTGGGTCAAATTCATGTTGGATATGGAGAATGAGTGCAAGGAAAATCGCCCCAGAGTGAGACCACAGCTGCGATACAAGGATATCTGCAAGCGGGATCTGAAGGCCTTAGGAATGGACCTCAACAGATGGGAAACCTTGACCTCTGGGCGCTCAGCCTGGAGGCAGGCGGTGCATCATGGCCTCTCCCAATTTGAAGAGACCCTTGTCCAGCAGGCCGAGGCCAAGAGGCTGTCCTGAAGCCAGCCAAATCAGGTAGCTGGACAGGGGACAGACTGTACTGGTCTTCAGTGTGGAAGGGACTGTCACTTGCGAATTGGCCTCCTCAGCCACACTAGATGCTGTTCCAAGTCCTCCATACAGAGCACATTACCCTAGTCTCTCGAGAATGAAGGATGCCTAATCTAATCTAAATCTGCTGCCTGGATCTTGCATAGGCAAAATTATATATTTAAGACAGAGGGTTTCACATTTTTAAAAAATTGCATAGTTGAAGACGTATTCATAGCTTTCTTTATGATTGCAAATGATGGGATTTCTCCAAAGCTTCAAAAAGTTTTTATAAATTCTTACTGACGTCTTCCAGGACACCCTAGGAATATCATGACACCGGAGTGGCCGCAACCTTCTAGTGAAACGGTGCGCGGTTTCTTCTACGCACCTTTGGAATAGTGAAGCCCTCGAGTTCAAAGTCCCTTTTCACCAGACGGGTAAATCCTAAAGGAATGAGATCAATAAATCTCTGGCCTTCGTGGAGAACAGCTTCGGTGTAAGGCATTTCAAGGCGATCCTTCATAGCAGGCATGCGTTCTCGTCCTATCACTCGGTCGATTTCTTCCTGGACTTTTGCTGGAACAGATGCAAAGACAGAGAACATCGAGGAAGGGAAGCACCCTTTCTGAGGCCTCACCGCTTCTTACTCTTTGTGGCATTAGCCATGAGACCTTGCGGGAGACTTTTCACATCTAAGTAAGAGTGAAATAATTATTGACTGAATCTTGTGTTGGCAAGGGACCCAATTTGCCCTCTGCCCTCTGAGAGATCCTCAACTCCGCCCTAAGCCCATGCCTGCATGTGCCCATTTCTGAATATCCAGGACTCTCCTTCCCTTCACCCTAAAAGAGGGAGGCAAATGGAGAGGGAAGGGCACACACAGCATCGCAACATTTGAGGTATGTGCTGAATTACAAGCCCATGCTTTTTCAGACACGTCTTTGAAGAAATCACCACAACTTTTTTTAAAAAGCTTCCCAATCTTGTGTGTGTGTGTGTGTATGTGTGTGTGTGTGACTGCACTAGTTGGTGAGGCGGCTGGTTCACACATCCCTATCAGCTCCAATCTGTGGCACGCCCTGGCTGGCACAACGCGTGCCCATTCGCTGAGTGTTCCGACTTTCACCTGAATCGGGCGCGCAGCCCTAGAAGCTGAGCTGACAAGCTACAGCAGCAGGAGGCTCAGGTGGAAGTACGGAGCAGCGTACAAGTCAACACCTGCAAGGTGCATCAAGGAACTGCAGTCCTGTTCAAGGAAAGAATTAAAAAAGAGAGAGAGGCTTGTTTGGAAACCTTGAACCGTTGGGTGTTCAAGTAGGACCATGAGAAGATATCTGAGGCTAGTGCTGGTGGTCTCGGTCCCAGCGATGAACAGGTCGTAAATGGTCATCATCAGGTTCTCTCGAGTAAATTCTGTCTTGGGATTGTTCTTCTCCTGGGAATCGGGAAAACAATGGTGAGACCCACTCTCCTATGGCAGGCTGCTGTATGGAATTATACTTTCCCATCAATGGTTAGGCTAGAACTTGCAAAAGCAAATTTTTTTTAGTTTATAGATCTCACAGTTCCCCGGGTGCAATTGGCCTGTAGCGCCCCGTTGCCTTCTGTGATAATGAGCTTTATTTTTCCCATCAATGGTTAGGCTAGAACTTGCAGAAGTAATTTTTTTTTAATAGATCTCACAATTCCCTGGGTGCAATTGGCCTGTATCGCCTTGTTGCCTTCTGTGATAATGAGCTTTGTCTATGCTCGATTGAGGCCAATTGTGTGATTTGGCATTTGGGACCTCTGCCCGGTGCTCAGTTTCTTGGTCACGTTGCTCACTTTTGAGCCTCATCGGTTTGCCTTTTGGGAAATGGGTCTTGTGGGAAGCAGCTGGCATTCCTTGCACTTAGAGCCTTGCCAAATTCTTCCTCTTAGCCTAATGGGGAATGGGTTTCTTACAAGATTAGGCCAAAACCAAAGAAAAATAAAGAAGACAAAATTGTTGTGGCAACTTAAAGACTAACTGTTATCTTTTAATGTGAGCTTTTGCAGAGGCGTTCCCTTCCTTCTTAGCCTAATGGGGAATGGGTTTCTTACGAGATTAGGCCAAAACCAAAGAAAAATACAGAAGACAAAAATGTTGTGGCAACTTAAAGACGAACGGCTATATTTTAATGTGAGTTTTTGCAGAGGCGTTCCCTTCCTTAGACATGTCCACAAAAGCTCACACTAAAATAGAGGACATAGAATTAGAGAGTCATGGAGTTGGAGGGAGCCTAGAAGGCTATTGAGCCCAAACTCTGCTCAGTGCAGCAATCCGGATCAAATCAAATCAGAATTTGAGAATTGGTTGTTTAATTTTCTCTTGAATACCTCTAACGTTGGAGCACTCACCACCTCCCGAGGCCATGGGTTCCATTGTTGTACTGCTCTAACAGTTAAGAAGTTTTTTTCTCCTGATATTCAGCCTAAATCTGGCTTCCTGTCGCTTGAGCCCATGGTTGTGTGTCCTGCACTCTGGGATGATCGAGAACAGATCCTGCCCCTTCTCTGTAGGACTAGCATTCAAGTTTTTGAAAAGTGCTATCCTGTCTCCCCTCAGTCTTCTTTTGTCTCTCCCTCAGTCTGCACCCTGCAGGCAACCATGTAGGAATGAATGGTGCCAACCCTTGGCCGCCATTTTGTGGGAAAACCCACGACACTCTCTCAGAATTCCAAATCCTGGTTTCTTCGGTTAGGAGACCCTTGGCTCTTACTCCGTGTTCTTCCATCTCTCACCTGCTGCATTTTGATGAGGAAGGAGTCGACAAAGTCCCGAGGAACACTCAGGGGATCCAGCGTGCGCTCATGCTCTTTGACTTTCTGGGCTATAAAGGTCTGGATGCTAAACATGTTTTTGAAGAACGTTTTATGAGGGCCGGGCAAGTAGTCCATGAGCTTGGGGACAATGTTGTAGAGCTGAGGCAGGGAAGGAGAGACAACGAATGAAAGAGAGAATTAATGAGGGTAGGTGAGGAGAAATAAAGTTGTGTTGGAAAGGCAGGGAAAAGGGACTCCTGCCCATGAGTACCCCTATTTTAAACTCTTTTTAAAACAGAAAATTGGGATTGTGTTGTTTGGGGGTGTTGGGCACAATTATTCCATTTTTTGAAGGGACCCCCAGCTAATGCTTTACTTTTCATCCCCCCCCAAAACAGAGCCAGAACATATGAGTTAGTGGATCAGGTTTTCAATGCATGGCTTAAAAGAGGAGGCGGACGGCACCAATAGGTCTAGGGGCCAACGGTGGCCTCCTGGAGCCTTTCGTAGACTGACGAGGTTGGGTGGCCACTGGGAAAGCCCTGTTTCAAGAAGTTGGGTTTCCAAAGGTTGCCACCCTTAAGAGAAGGTCAACGGCTTGTTGTTGAGGAAGCATTTCAGAAGGTGATTCGTCATGAGACATTGGCGGTGCCACTTTTCCCTAGGGCTTCGGGTGTGCGTGCAAAACTGGCCTTTGGGGTCACCAGTGACCTACCTAGGCTTAAGACAAAGGACTGTTCTGCAGGATAGGAAGCAAGGAGCTTCAGCCTCCTGTCTCCCTGGCCAACAGGAATGGGATTAGCAGAAGTGTGTGCATTGGTGTTTCGGGATGGCAACTCTCGGTTCTTCCACTACCACCACCACCAAAACCTTTAAATGGGAAGCAACACTCCAAGGTTTTCTCCTTTCCTTCCCCACCTCCGTCTCCCGGCATGTTTTCCTCTCTTTCCATGCCTGCTCACTGCCGTCCACCTCACCTGTCCTGCGACAGAGCTCTCGAGACGGAAGCCATCAATGAGCATCTGCAGGGTCCGGATGTATTCCTCATCCTGGTAATCAAACCGTTCTCCAAGGAGGATGTGGCTGATGATGTTCCCGGTGGCTTTGCTGAAAAGGGTGGCTGGGTTGAAAGCTTGGCCTGGCAAGGAAAGCAGAGTCGGTGAGCACCTACATCAGCCAGAGCATGGAAAAGTGCACCGTTTCCAGAAACCCTCAGCCAACATGGCCAGAGGCATCTTTGGTTGGAGAATTCTGGGAGTTTGGGTCCAAAAAGTGTTACTTCTAGTAAGGATGTCCTGAGCTGATTTGTAGTTTACATGCACAGAATTCCTTCACCCTCTTTGATCACCACTTTCATATTCCAGACTGTTCTTCCTAAGAATAGCATTGCTTCATCTTGCATTTGAGAAAGCGGACAGTAATCCAGAAAAGCTCACATTGAAACGAATCTTAATCTTTAAGGATGCCATAACTTCTTTGCTTTTATTTTTGCTTTGCATTTTTTTTTCAATAGTAATAACCCCTAAAGGCTATCAGGAGCCTGTTCATTTTGCATCACAAGCCGGAATCTTCTTACTTATACCCAATGGTATATGTCTAGCAGAATAATGGGAGTTGTAACACAACTACTTCTGCAGGGTCGAAAGGGGACACAGTTGCTTTAGGGTTTTTTTTTGTTTTTTTATTTTCCTAACTGTTGTTCAAGAAAACGGCAGGTTCATACCATTTCTGAGGACCTCTGTTACCCATACACCACAAAAGGTTTATTTTTAAAACACATTTGGTATATTATCAACCCCCTCCTCTACCACCAATTTCCTATGCCTGAATTAAAGAAATAGGCTTGAATAGCACTTTCATTGCCTTAATGGTAAATCATAACAACACAATCAATTATAATAAGTAGAAACTACTATTAGCTGCAGTCCATGGGAGGCTGAGGGCATGGGCTTTAAGCAAAGACTTTATTTAGCTATTTAATAGAATCATGAAGTCACAATGGCCTTTGTGAATCCTTCCTTTTGTAATAGGGGAAGAAACTGCATTTCCATACATTCCAATCCATACAACCTTTCACCCCGGACAAGAGATGGCCTATCTTATCACTAGGACATTGAGCACCTTCTCCATAACCTATCTCTGTGGCACGTGCTTTTTTTTTCCTTGCCCACTGTGTATTGTGCGTTACAGTTTACTGGGGGGGGGGTGTTTTAAGACTCCAGTGTTTGTGAACCAATAGCCATAAATGCAACTGCCGTTATTTGATCCCAGAAGCGAAGCAGGGTGAGACCCAGATGAGAGAACCACACAGGTATACTGGGGATCTCAAGGCTGGGCTGAGACTGCTTCTACTAGTAAGAGTTGACACCATTGGATGAGATGAACCAATAAAAGCTTATGTCCGGTTCTTATGCTACGAACAGCATGCTAGACCAACCTTCTCCCATTGGTTTGTGCAATGCAAGAAGTTATAGCGACTTCTAGGAGAAGTAGAAGAAGGGTGTTCTAGACTGAGGATCCTGTTTTGCATGAATTAAAAAAACAACAACACTTTTTAAAGGGCAAGGTTTCATTCCGTACCCTTGGTGGCTCGGAGCTCCTTCATCAGGTGCTCTGCCTCCTCCTGGATGCGTTCCTCGATGCTTTTCTTCCCCATTCCAAAGTTCCTCAAGGTCATGAGGGAGAAGCGACGGATCTGGAGCCAGCGCTCGCCATTCGACATGATGACACCTAAAGAAAGCAGGCAGGTAGAGAATGTAGACTGAGCTTCTCTCACTACAAATAGCAGTAAACATCCTGTATGGAATGAGGGAGAAGCGCCGGATCTGGAGCCAGCGCTCGCCATTGGACATGATAACACCTAAAGAAAGCAGGCAGGTAGAGACTGAGCTTCTCTCACTACAAACAGCAGTAAACATCCTGTATGGAACGAATGTGTGTTTCCAAAGCACGCAGCCCTCTTCTGCCCTTCCGATTCTGTGTAGAGTTGGTGCCAAAACCCAGTGTTACATACAAAGGTCCTGATTCGAAGAGAAAAGGCTTGAACTGATGAAAATGTTTGAAGGTCACATCAGGAGAATCTCTCAGTTTTGGGAGGGGGCAAACTAGCTTCCTTTCTTGGGTGGTTGATCTCCAGGACTTAGGCACCAGACTTCCTCCAAAGTCTGTTTTCAAAAACCCAAAATATTGTGTCCATCAACTCTCCGATATTAATGGACTTTCGGGTCTGATGATGGGCTATCTCTAAGTTCTGTTTCTGGGCCGCCATGTGGAGAGCAGGGAGAAGGATTGCCACCGGATGCCATGGAGGCTTGGCGGTTGGTTTGGAGAACATTTGAGGAAGGGCTGTGGCTGAGCGGTCATGCTGTGTGTTGAACGCAGAAGACTCAAGGGCCCTTTGCTCTACCTCAGAAGAAGTAGCAACACCTTTGTTTCCTGGTGGCTGTTCCAGAAAGGAGTGGTAGAGTACTGAAAGGGACAGGATGGATCAATCCAAATGGAGACACATGTGGACATCATCATTTGGTCCACACCATGCCAAACCAACAGTGATCTCTATGCCCATCTGGACAGGCCCTAGGTCAGTGTTTCTCTTCCAATTTCCCCCAAATGGATTTCCAGAAATATACTTTCCTTCCTTAAAAAAAAAAAAATCTCCTCAATGAGAGAGGAGGTACAGTTTCCAGAAGAAGGGAAGACGGCCAATTAGCTCTAGAATCTCTTCACACTAGACCGCCCTCGTCTCCCGCTGCCCGCTAACCGTGCCTCATTTTTTTCATATGATCCATACCAAGTCCTTTATTTGTCTTATCTGCGGAAGGGAAGCTGCCTCGGTCGAGAAAGTCATCGCTGTTGTCAACCAGAACCTTTTTCACGATATTGTAGCCGTAGAGGACCACCATCTGGTCTGAGCCGAAATACACCGTGAATATCGGTCCATATTTTTTACTCATCTGTAAGGACAGAGCAGAGGGGAAAATGTGAGGACAGGTGGGAGGTTTGTGGTGCAGAACTGAGAGAAATAGCAGAAGAATGTTGGAGTTTTATCGGCCATCTTGCACACTGTGTGTGGTTTGTTTGATTGGGAGGACTTTTCTGGGCTGAAGTGATTATTTATTTTTCCAGCACTAACCAATCTTTCCTTCCAGCCTTTGAACTCAAAGCTGGCCCTGCTTCTCTGCTAAATGCTCTTTCCTTGGTTTGTGTCAGTGATTCGCTGTTGATCTGTTCAGTTGGTTACTCGTACGAGTGCAGTAAAGAAAGCAGCCTATACATGTCTCTAATTATCAAGCAGCTCTTAAGTAAAGAATGTTTTTATTTCTTTCTCTTACAAATGTCTCAAAGTGAGTTATTGAGACTTTAGGTGTTGGAAATTGCAGCTAGTCTCCTCAGTAGATACTGTATCTGTAATTCTCTTGCATAGTAAAATAGAATTCAAAAATTTGCAACAAGGAAGTAGTGGCTGAAAGAGGAGAGGGGCCAGGATGGGAGAGAGTTTTGAGCCCGTGAACGCTGTGTGTGTGTGTCACTTCCTCAGGTGGACCATACAGCTTGGTTCCCTTAACTGTTAGGAGCCCAAATGAAGCAGTTCAATATTGGGCAAGAAAGTACAAGAAAATGGCCTTCTTCAGGTCCATCCACCTGCCATGCTCTGTCCTAAGTATAAATTGTAGTGGTGCTTCATGGGAGGGGCAGGGAAATCCTTTAAGAGAAGGCGAAAGAGGCAGTGGTAGGAAGTAACGGAGAGAAAAGGAGAAGGGAGAGATGTGTTCGTCTTGTGAAGAGCTATTTGGAAATAATGAGAGCTCAAGAGAAGAAGGAAACGCAAGAGAAATGGAAGGTCTTGACAGATTTCATTTGTCGGACAGAGGAAGGATGGGAATCTGGATCGCTCCATGCTCATCTGTCCCTCTCTCTGTTCTCCATCCCTTGGCCTATTCTCTCTCTTTTTCCTTCTGCCATCCCTTCTCCCTTTCCCGCCTTTGACTCCACAGTCCCACAGCCCTTTGTTTTCCCTCCTCTTTGGCCCCAAGCCATGGCTTTCCTCCACCACCTCTCTTGACTTCCGTCAACTTGGATGGCCTCCCAGGCACTCCCATGAGCCTCCTATCTCGAGTTGAACAAACAAACCCCAGCAACTTTCATGAACCCGCTATTTCAACAGCCCCGGGCCAATCCAAAGATCCCTCTTTGTCTCTCCCTCGATAAGGCTGATTTTTCTCTACACTAGGGCTGTTTTTATGCTCTGGGAACCTGTCCTCAGCTGGTCGTCTTCTGACTCTTCCTATCATTTTTTTCCAGCATTTCTAGAGGGAGGAGGTTTTCCTCTGCTTTCTGCATTCTGCCATCTTCTCTCAAAGCTTGGAAAAAATAACTTTTCATAGCTGTTTTTTAATTTACCATAGTTCTTTCCCTGGCTGACTTAGGGTCAAATCAGAAAGTACAATTATGCTTTTGTTTTTTATGTACTCCTTCAAATTGAGAAAGATAATTCCACCATTCCACATGTTGCATTCAGTGTGCTTGGTTTTGTGATCAGCTGTGCAAAATAAATACAGCTGGATATGCAACTCTAATTGCCCTGAGTAATCTCTCTGAAAAAATTCCCATGTTACAAGGAAAATGAGTTAAATGCATGTTCTTCTTAGCTTTTAGCTTCAACCCAAACCAAACCCTATGGTTTTCATCACCTATTTTACACTGATGCCACCAAGGCCTACCTCCCTGCCACAATCTCAATGGAAAAGTGAGAAGGAAGGAAGGCCATGGAGCGAAATTGTGGATCCACAGCTCTCTTTTCGTTCCCAGATGGGCCCAGGAACTGGCCATATTGAGAGCTGAGCTGAATTGATCCCCTCCCATGGTTTCTTGTTCCATTAAGACTTATGGCAGTGTCATAGTTCATTACCACTGGTAAATGTTGGTTGCTTCGGTGACCCTGTCCATCCATCTCGTCCTCTGTCGTCCCCTTCTCTCCTCTTGCCTTCACCCTTTCCCAACATCAGGGTCTTTTCCAGGGAGTCTTCTCTTCTCATGAGATGGCCAAAGTACTGGAGCCTCAGCTTCAGGATCTGTCCTTCCAGTGAGCACTCAGGGTTGATTTCTTTCAAAAGATCTGGCCGACGGGCGGCCCAAATTTCTCCTGGATGTCTCCAGTGTTGGAACGCTCACCGCCTCCCCTTGAGATCATGGGCTCCAATAGTTAAGAAGTTTTTCCTGGTATTCAGCTGGCCTCCTGTAGCTTGAGCCCCTGAGGATGTGGCCTGAACTTAGGAATGATGGAGAACAGATCCTGCCCCTCCTCTATATGACAGCCTTTCAAGCACATATTTGAAAACTGCTATCCTATCTCTCCCCCCCCCCACAGTCTTTTGAGGGGCTTGAGATCATGGGCTCCAATAGTTAAGAAGTTTTTCCTGGTATTCAGCTGGCCTCCTGTAGCTTGAGCCCCTGAGGATGTGGCCTGAACTTAGGAATGATGGAGAACAGATCCTGCCCCTCCTCTATATGACAGCCTTTCAAGCACATATTTGAAAACTGCTATCCTATCTCTCCCCCCCCCCACAGTCTTTTGAGGGGATATGAGCTGTAACATCAGTGCTGTTATGTAACAATATGAGCTAGTAATCTTGGTGCCTTACCTTTCCCAGGTTTTCTGTAACGTTCTTAGCCGACAGCTGTAGGAGATTCCCAATGAAGGGAAGAGGTGTTGGTCCCGGAGGCAAGTTCTTCTTCTTCTTGGCCGCTGACTTGTTCCATGCCACCAAGAGGGTCAGGCAGATGATCAAGATGACCGTGGTTCCCCCCAAAAGATCCATGACAGCTGAGGCTCCCCTGCACCAGAGGAAAGACAGCCGTTCAGGGACCCTGCCTGCCAAGCAGTGTTCAAAGTCAACTAAGCTTGTTTGCTTAGACTAGAGTCCAGCTTCTTCACATGTATTGATCAGCACCATTGGAATGGAGCCTGGGTTTGTATTTGTCCTGATTTATGCCCTGCTCCCTGTGCAATCAAGTGTGGAGATAAACCAAGCTCAATGGCTGTGTTTTTCGTACAGAGACAAAACTTAACATTGAATGAAAAAAAGAAAAGGGGGTGAATCAAAGGATCCTTCATCAACTCAGCCAGGGAGTGGACAGAATTCCATTGCAGTTGCCAAAGGATCTGATGGAACGAGAGGAACCACCCTCTTCTCTTCCCCTTTAAGCAACAGCAGCGTGTAGTGGAGCCGTTGGATAACGGGGGAAGACCAAAGGCAGAAAAGGTTCCGACTCTGTCGTGGGGCACATTTCTCCCAGGTCTTCCAAGTAACCATGCAAACCTGATGTCTTAGGTTTGCTGTGCTTTCATTCTGCTTGATAGGAATTCAGTGGAAGAGTCAACGGGGACTGTTGCAACATCATGCAACCTTGTTTTACGGGCAAGGGAACATAGGCTTTGGCTTGCTCTGAAACTCTGCATGCCAAGCAGGTGTGGTCCACCGTTCTTGGTTGTCCTCTGGCATATTCCACAGGCTTGCTCTGAAACTCTGCATGCCAAGCAAGTGTGGTCCACCGTTCTTGGAGGCTGTCCTCTGGCATATTCCAGGGATGGGGACTCAGGTTGTGGGACTCGCTCTCAAGTTGGACTTGAGTTGCCCTTGCAATTTGACTCAGGTTTTCTTTCCCAATGACTGGGACTTGACTTGTGACTCAGAAACCATCCACCCCTCCCTTTTTTTGGGGGGGGGACTGTTACATACAGCACTGATGTTACCTGTCTGTCATGGGTTGGAGGGAAAGTTCCATCCTATGGGGAGTGGAAGGCGGGACATCAGGAGGAGGGGCTGTACTGTATATATATGTGGAGGTTGTGTGGAGAAGCTGAAGGAGAGCTGAAGGAGAGCTGAGAGAAGAAGCTGGAGTGGGAGTCTGTGTGTCAGACAGGGTACTACTGTGTGTCAGTCAGTACCAACCTGATAGGTTCAGGTGTCTTTATGGGTAGCCAGAACTGATAGGTTCAGGGTCTGTGCTTTATTTAAAGGTGTTCTGTGTGAACCAAACTGGTGTATGTATGATTGAGACTAAGCCACATTACTGTATCTTATTCCCTTGATCATTTTATTTTCCCTGTGTGTTCTTTAAATAAACCTTATTCCTTTGTTTGTTAAAAATCCATTCCTGGTCTGTGTGACTCCTTACAGGGAATGGTTGGTGGCAGCTTAGTGAAACTGTGGCATATCCCAGTAGGTCTGGGGTTCGTCACAGGGACAACCTTGTTTTGAATAGGGATTCAGGCTTGGGGCTTGGGACCAAAGACTTGGGACTTGGGACTTGGTAACAAAGACTCAGACTTGGTAACAAAGACTCAGACTTTGGACTTGGTAACGAAGACTCAGACTTGGGACTTGGTAACAAAGACTCAGACTTGGGACTTGGTAACAAAGACTCAGACTTGGGACTTGGTAACAAAGACTCAGATTTGGGACCAAAGACCCAAAAACTTGCCAACATTCCTGGTATATTCTGCTTTTCTGCTTCCAGCCCCAGTGGAACAGTTTCGACAAACCTGCAGGCAGAAGGAGTAAAGCTCACTGTTCCTTTCATACAACACCTATCCACCCATGAGAAATAAAAGAGTTACTATTGTGGTTTTGTGGCTAGAATAGTGGGTGGGTGGGTCGGGAGAGCACTTGGGTTCATGTCCAAACAGTCTTTGACAATTGGTTGAGTGCCTTCCTTCGCTTAAGCTTGCCTGGCGAGACCGATGACAGGAGAGGGCTGAGTATGTTTCCCCACAGGTGGACGGGTGCGGTTATGAAACAAAAGTATGTTTCGTCGCAATAAGGTGAAGCCGAGCAAAGCGTTGTGAAGCATGCAATCCAAGCAGCTCAACCCATCATTGTCATCCCTGGCTTTGCTGGCGTCGGAGACCAAAGACCACACCAGCATTCAAGACATCATGTTTGCGTTAAATGGAAAGCAAAGCAAACAAGTCAAAGCAGATCACGCTAGGGCGCGGTTTCACTACTGAAATAAATCGGATGATGGATCGAGGGTGTTGAAGTTGGTTTAAAGTCACATGCTAGCCAAATTCCCCTTGGGAAAACCCTTACCCTGTTTTCAAGCTGTGTTGTATCTCGGTCGAGGCAGGGGTGATGTGGACTTTTAAAATCATTGCATTTGAGGCTTTGTCCTGTGCCTGCCCACTTTCACACTGATGTGTGTTCTCAACGGTGTGGTGTTTGTCAAGTCACAGATGGCAGGATCGTGGGTTTGGGGAGGGAAACCTTGTAGTCTAATCTGTTTTTTTCCCTGTCTGTAATACTGAAGTAGCGCTATCCCAGTTTGAAATAAAACAAATATTAAAAATAACACCACCAGCACCAGCAGTGAGTAGCTTTCAGAGGCAGCCAGCATGAGGGCAGGCCTATGACAAAATCTCAAATACAATAAGATTTTGGTACGCTTTGCTTTTTTACCTGCCTTCCCTCGTACTGACTGACTCTTATAGCCAGTTGCCACTGCTGCTGGCAGTATTTTTTCTAATATTTGATTGTTAAAAATTTATTTCAAACTGGGGTAGCGCTACTTCAGTATTACAGACAGGGAAAAATGTGTGTGCAAACTCAGGAGTTCTTCAATGTGTAAGTTGTACCCCGTAATGTCAGTGGCTAGAACTGGATGTGCCAGCAGGATCTGTGGATTTATTGAATAGTTCATGCAGGATTCCTGGAAGACAATCTCTCAGCCATGGGAGCAACATCAATAATCGAACCTCCCTGTTCAGGAACAGGGTATCACTAATTCGTTGAGGTTGGAGACATCTCCTTTGAGATTACTATCTCTACCCAACGAAGCAAAGGAACCTCCTAAGTTTATGGCACCCTGTTCCCTGGATCAATAAATCCTGCAGTGGCTGAGCAAGATCATCTGAAGTCGATGGAGAAGGAAATGGAGGAGATGGTTGTTGTGGGTTTTCCAGGCTTAATGTTTCACCAGTCTCTGTGGCCCACATCTTCAGAGGACAGGAGTCAGAATTCTGTCGGTGCTCTGGTGCAGTTTGTGGGATGAAATGGAGGAGGATTTGTCTGCCAACTCTACACTGGGTAGAGGCTGTGGGGCACCCTGTTGCAAGGAAAATTAAGGCTGTTCCCCCAAACCCTTTGAAACATAGCTGGCCCACACAGAGTCCTAAATGCTGAAAACTGAGCAAGCGACACAGTTTTCAGATGCTGTACCTAGAAGCCTTGCCAGTTTGCAGCCGCCGAAATGATAACCCCAGCAACTGTGGCAGCGGCCGGAGCCCATGGTGGGGTGGGCGTTCGGTCCAGAGGTGGATCTTATAATTTTGAGATTGGAGGCAATCATCATCCTCCCGCACTGACTCTGCCCTGGTTGTGGGAATCAGCCCCAACCCACAAGGAAGAGGAGAAGGGGGTACCCCCCAAAGATACCCCACAACCCCTGAACAAAGGAAGTTTATGTGCCAGACACACACCAAGAGGAAAGGAAAGAGAGTGAGGAGGTGTGGCGGTTTATTTTCCAGCCAGCCATCAGCAGATTCATCTCCACATATCAACGCCCTCTACATTTTGGGACCTGGGGGCAAAAGCCACAGTGGCTCCACCTTCGTCATGGTACTGGTATTGTGAAACATGATTTGCTGGGAGTCCTGTCCCATGCAAAACTGGGGAGACATCCTGGCTTCTGTGGAACACATTCTGACCCTCATTGGTGTCCTTAGTTTGACACTGTTGGTGGCAACCTTAGTGCTTCATCTCCACAGGCCAGGAATTCATCAACGAAAAATCCATATATCAATACAGTAGGACCCCCCTATCCGCGGGATCGGTATCCACTGATTCACTTATCTGATGGCTGAAAATACTAAATGCCCCCCACCCCATGAAATTCCTATTTACTGCATATGTATATCCAGGGTGTATTTGCCAGAACAGGCCATTACATACTTCTGCATTTTTCAGCATTCACGGTGTGTGTGTGTGTGTGTGTGTGTGTGTGTGTCTTGAAACTGATTCCCCCCCCTCCAAGATACTGTGGTCCCACTGTATTTAAAGCAATATACTAACATTTATCGAGTGGTTAAGGGGATCTTAAGAAATCTATAAAAACAGGGCTAGTCATCACAACTGTAGCTCAGAATCTACCTCTAGAGGTGACTGACGGACAGGTCAACGGGCCAACCCCCCCCCAAATAATATTAAAAATAATAAAACGAACAAAACCTACAGGGCACTGTTAAAATATTGCTCTCCTTTGGATAGGGTCGACAGAGGATAATACGCTACCCACCCTACGGCACGACACATTTGCTTTGTAGATGTTGTGCAACAATTTGGTGGAAAACCGGCGCCGAGGCTCAGGACGCCTCCAGCTACAAAAGGCCCCCTTCGCGCCGTAGGGTTGCCATTCCTCTTCCACAATGGCCATCAGAACTGCCGGAGAGTCAGAGGAGATGGGGAGTCCTGCCCCACGGACACTGGGGACGGAGCCTCTGCCGCCTGCGGCCGGGACTTGGGTTTTGCCTTCTTGCTGCTGGGCTTTGCTGGCTGAAAGGAAGAGAAAAAGAAACGAGGGTGAACATCGCCACACTCAAGGCTGCATCGGGGGGGGGGACGGACAAGGAGTCGACATCCTAATCTTGTTGGGGAAGGGCCTTAAATCGAGATGTTCACCAAGCGCTTTCTGATGGCATGTCTTTGCCGGCTGGGGTTTTTTGAGTCCAACACGCTGCAAACAAACAACCCACCTGGCATTTCACAGAGGTCAGCGGCGCATCGTGCATGAAGTTCAGAATCGACACCTCAGCGGAACAGTCCCTGATGGCCTGGGGAAGAGAGGCATTAATTGGGATAAGTTTTGTGCCCCCTGGGCCAGGCTTCGGTGGGTTTCCAGACCTTTCTAGATTACTGACCCCAGAATACCTCACCCCTGGATATACTGGCTAAGGATAACAGGGGTTATAAGCCAAACACCTCTGGAGGGCCAAAGTTTTAGACGGGTGGTTCCCAACCTTGGTTCCGCAGGTGTGCTTGGATCTACAACTCCCAGGAATCCTGGCCAGCACAGCTAGCAGTGAAGGTTTCTGGGAGTTGCAGTACAAGAACACCCGGGTGGTCCAAGGTTGGGAACCACGATCCTCTACTGTGGTTTCCTCTGGCCCTCCTCTGTGCACGCTAGTTCACCTGAGAGCTCCCTCAGTTCCACGTTGACTAGGAAAGGGGGCCAGACCTGCTCCTGAGCCTTTTAAAGAGTACGTTGAATTGGAGGAATCAAGAGAACTTATATCTGGAAACGGTCCCGAATGGGGAAAATGCCAAACTGGGTTGGCTCATGATTCATGGCTATCCACACACCGAGAACCTCCCACAGACCTTGGAAGAATGATCCGATTCATGGTTTATTGGCTTGTTTTGTTTGTGCCTCAAGGGTGGGGGGAGAGGAAGATTCTGAGAAATGTCATCCAAGAAAGGACCATTTTATAGATTTCTGGGATATGTTGTCCAAAAATGCAACAATTCCAAGATTTCACAAGATCCGCTCAGTGGGATTGAGAAGAACGAGGGATTTACTCCCCTCTTTACTTACCCCGTTGGCTTTGTATCGGCAGCTTCCCATCCTGTAACTAGAAGCTTTCTGGCAGTGGGTCTCCTTGATGGTGAAATTCATGCTGAAATGAACCGCCCAACCAAACCTCTTTGGGAGAGAAAGAGAGAGAGAGAGAGAGAGAGAGAGAGAGAGAGATTACGACATAAAGACACTTTACTATTATGTAAAAAGGGGGGAAATAGTTTCCTACTCTGAGGAATTTACAATCTAAATTGCGACATGAGCAAGAGAAGAAACAGACAGGGTCATCGAAACAACCAACATGAATTTGACCCAATTCCGGGAGGCAGTGGAAGATAGGAGGGCCTGGCGTGCTCTGGTCCATGGGGTCACGAAGAGTCGGACACGACTAAACGACTATACAACAACAACGACTGATTTCAAGGAAGAAGCCTGTGTTTTTCCTAAGGTAAGGCTTCCTCCGCTCCATAAATGATAAATCAGCTTGCTTTTTGTTGTGAATGATTGGTAAACATACATTTCATTTTGCTAGTGTGGTTGCTTGGGCACAGCAGGTTTGATGGCCTGCGTCTCTGGAAGGAAAATGTTTTGTCACCTCTTCACTGAGGTGGCCTACCTCACCTACTTCTGTCTTCATTTCAGCTGATATCCATTTTTTTTTCCTGCCAGAGTGTTGAAAGAGCAAGGGTTTTGTTTATTTTAATCCCTAACTGTCCAAAACTCTGATTTGGCCGCGGCCTTGTTATATAAGAAGAACAAGGACAGCAAGCTGAAATGTGGAATTCTGTGATGCACTGAAAAAGTAAACAATGTTTATCCCCATAACTTTGCAGTAAAAATTCTCAGGAGGGAAGAAGAAGCTTCTCCTTATCTCATCGCTGGGAAAAATGTACATAGTTGCATTTTTTGCTTGTCACACTGTCATGGAAAACACACACAGAGAGAGACACACACACAGACACACACACAAGAAATGGAAGTTTCTTTCCCATGAAAAGACACACATCCGTCACATAACCACACATCAAGACTACTATCATTCCATTATCGTTTGTTATCGTTATTATTGACAGAGCACGACACGTACAGTCTTTTGACAGTAACAATACTAGGGTGGTCCTATAATGCAAAATCCCTCCACAACCACAGCTGCCCTCCCACTCATGTTTCATAGAATCATGGAGTTAGAAGGGGCCTTGAAGGTCATCCTCATGTCCAAACAGTCTTTGACAATTGGTTGAGTGCCTTCCTTCGCTTAAGCTTGCCTGGCGAGACCGATGACAGGAGAGGGCTGAGTATGTTTCCCCACAGGTGGACGGGTGCGGTTATGAAACAAAAGTATGTTTCGTCGCAATAAGGTGAAGCCGAGCAAAGCGTTGTGAAGCATGCAATCCAAGCAGCTCAACCCATCATTGTCATCCCTGGCTTTGCTGGCGTCGGAGACCAAAGACCACACCAGCATTCAAGACATCATGTTTGCGTTAAATGGAAAGCAAAGCAAACAAGTCGAAGCAGATCACGCTAGGGCGCGGTTTCACTACTGAAATAAATCGGATGATGGATCGAGGGTGTTGAAGTTGGTTTAAAGTCACATGCTAGCCAAATTCCCCTTGGGAAAACCCTTACCCTGTTTTCAAGCTGTGTTTTATCTCAGTCGAGGCAGGGGTGATGTGGACTTTTAAAATCATTGCATTTGAGGCGTTGTCCTCTGCCCGCCCACTTTCCCACTGATGTGTGTTCTCAACGGTGTGGTGTTTGTCAAGTCATGGATGCCAGGATCGTGGGTTTGGGGAGGGAAACCTTGTAGTCGAATCTGTTTTTTCCCCTGTCTGTAATACTGACATAGCGCTATCCCGGTTTGAAAGAAATAAAGCAAATAAAACATATATTAAAAATAACAACAACAACACCAGCAGTGGGTAGCTTTGAGAGGCAACCAGCATGAGGGCAGGCACAGGACAAAGACCCAAATACAATAAGTTTTTGGCATGCTTTGCTTTTTCACCTGCCTTCCCTTGTACCGACTGACTCTTACAGCCAGTTGCCACTGCTGCTGGCAGTATTTTTTCCTAATATTTGCTTTTTTTAAATTTATTTCCAACTGGGATAGCACTACTCCAGTATTACAGACAGGAAAAAATGTGTGTGCTAAAACCAACGCAAAGGAGTTCTTCAATGTGTAGCTTGTACCCCGTAATGTCAGTGGCTAGAACTGGATGTGCCAGCAGGATCTGTGGATTTATTGAATAGTTCATGCAGGATTCCTGGAAGACAGTCTCTCGTTAGCCATGGGAGCAACACCAATAATCGAACCTCCCTGTTCAGGAACAGGGTATCACTGATTCGTTGAGGTTGGAGACATCCCCTTTGAAATTACTATCTCTACCCAAAGAAGCAAAGGAACCTCCAAAATTTATGGCACCCTGTTCCCTGGATCAATAAATCCTGCAGTGGCTGAGCAAGATCATCTGGAGTCAATGGAGAAGGAAATGGAGGAGATGGTTGTTGTGGGTTTTCCAGGCTTAATGTTTCACCACTCTCTGTGGCCCGCATCTTCAGAGGACAGGAGTCAGAATTCTGTCTGTACAGTTTGTGGGATGAAATGGAGGAGGATTTGTCTGCCAACTCTACATTGGGTAGGGGCTGTGGGGCACCCTGTTGCACTGACCAAGCAACACAGTTTTCAGATACCTAGAAGCCTTGCCAGTTTGCAGCCGCCGAAAGGATAACCCCAGCAACTGTGGCAGTAGCCAGAGCCCATGGTGGGGTGGGTGTTCGGTCCAGAGGTGGATCTTATAATTTTGAGATTGGAGGCAATCATCATCCTCCCGCACTGACTCTGCCCTGGTTGTGGGAATCAGCCCCAACCCACAAGGAAGAGGAGAAGGGGGTACCCCCCCAAAGATACCCCACAACCCCTGAAAAAAGGAAGTTTATGTGCCAGACACACACCAAGAGGAAAGGAAAGAGAGTGAGGAGGTGCGGCGGTTTATTTTCCAGCCATCCGTCAGCAGATTCGTCTCCACATGTCAACGACCTCTACATTTTGGTCCCTGGGGGCAAAAGCCGCAGTGGCTCCACCTTCGTCGTGGTACTGGTGTTGTGAAACATGATTTGCTGGGAGTCCTGTCCCATGCAAAACCGGGGAGACATCCTGGCTTCTGTGGAACACGTTCTGACCCTCATTGGTGTTCAGTGTCCTTAATTTGACACTGTTGGTGGCGACCTTAGTGCTTCATCTCCACAGGCCAGGAATTCATCAATGAAAAATCCATATATCAATACAGTAGGACCCTCCTATCTGCGGGATCTGTATCCACTAATTCACTTATCTGCTGGCTGAAAATACTAAACACCCCCCAATACAGTACCTATTTATATGTCTATCCAGGGTGTATTTGCCAGAACTGGCCACTACAGAGAGCCAGACACGATGCAATGTATAGCCTTCCCTACTTCTGCATTTTTCAGCATTCACTCATGTGTGTGTGTGTGTGTGTGTGTTCTGTCTGTCTGTCTGTCTGTCTGTCTGTCTGTCTGTCTGTCTGCCTGTCTATCTGTTGATTCCTCCCCTGCCCCAGATACTGTGGTGCCACTGTATTTAAAGCAATATATTATCATTTATCAAGTGGTCAAGGGGATCTTAACAAATCTATATAACAGTGCTAGTCATCACAAATGTAGCTCAGAATCTACCCCTAGAGGTGATTGACGGACAGGTCAACGGGCTGAACCCCCCAAAAATGATAATATTAATAATAATAGAACGAACAAAACCTACAAGGCACTGTTAAAATATTGCTCTCCTTTGGATAGGGTCGACAGAGGATAATACGCTACCCACCCTACGGCACGACACATTTGCTTTGTAGATGTTGTGCAACAATTTGGTGGAAAACCGGCGCCGAGGCTCAGGACGCCTCCAGCTACAAAAGGCCCCCTTCGCGCCGTAGGGTTGCCATTCCTCTTCCACAATGGCCATCAGAACTGCCGGAGAGTCAGAGGAGATGGGGAGTCCTGCCCCACGGACACTGGGGACGGAGCCTCTACCGCCTGCGGCCGGGACTTGGATTTTGCCTTCTTGCCGCTGGGCTTTGCCGGCTGAAAGGAAGAGAAGAAGAAACGAGGGTGAACATCTCCGCATTCATCGGGGGGGGGGACGGACAAGGAGTCGACATCCTAATCTTGTTGGGGAAGGGCCTTAAATCGAGATGTTCACCAAGCGCTTTCTGATGGCATGTCTTTGCCGGCTGGGGTTTTTTGAGTCCAAACGACCGACCCACCTGGCATTTCACAGAGGTCAACGGCGCATCGTGCATGAAGTTCAGAATCGACACCTCAGCGGAACAGTCCCTGATGGCCTGGGGAAGAGAGGCATTAATTGGGATAAGTTTTGTGCCCCCTGGGCCAGGCTTCGGTGGGTTTCCAGACCTTTCT